GGAGGGGGGGGGGGGGGGGGGGGGGGGGGGGGGGGGGGGCAGCGGGAGACGAAAACGAAAGAAGATTTGTGCAGGACCTCTGAGCGGCATTTTTTTCTCACGGTCAATTTACGTAGTGTAACAAATCACTCGCTCGCACTCAGGCTTTGATTCACTCAGGTTCTTTAGGTGCACAAAAATTTCAGGGTAGCTACTACTTTTCTCTTTACACACGCAGCATTTGATGTTTTGGACGGTCCAGAAGTAAGGCAGATTATGGAGGTCGGAGTTGATGAATGTAAAGGCACGTCAAGCTGGAGTCGTTTTATTTGCCCTTCGTTGAGTGTAAAGCTTGAGAGCGTGAATGAAAATTTTCCTGAATTTCTGGTATAAACTGTCTTTGCTTTGCAGCTTTTATCTGCCATCGATTCTTTTACGGGTTTCACTTCCATTCTTCTTCTTGCTACCGCAGAATGCAATTATTCACAGCTTCCAAACGATGTATGTTCTTTTTTCATTTACTCCATGCGAACACTCTGATAGTTAAAAATTATCGATATGACTAGCATACCGGAAAGGCAAAATTAACTTCGACATGCTTCCTGGCGGTTCTCGAAACATGTAATCGTTGGCAGTCTTGCTGGTGATTGTCTCCGCTCGAGGCACGAAAAACTCAGACATGCAAACGCAGTTGACGGGGTTTTGAAAAAATACATTTTTACATCCGTGTAAATTCGGGAAAATAAGCGGCCTTTCCACATTTTATTTTTTTGAGCTTAGTAATGCAAGTTTTTTTTAGAGTCCTTATATTGCTGGCCTGTTGATTTTTAATGACTTGCTAATTTTTATAACTCATAGTTTTAGTTACGCGATAGCAAAACAAATTTTACCGCGTTTTTTGGCAACCTACAATGAATTCTGACGCTGAATTCGTTGCATGGCCTTGGGCTTTAACTCAATTTAGCCAGTTTTCGTACTGTTCCGAATTTGCAGAAGGTAGAAAGGCGTCGCTGTCATAATAGAATGGTACCGAATGTTAACCCCAGTAGTTCCTCAGAGTCAGAGAAAAGTGTTAAGTGGCATGTATTTTTTTCATACATTTTCTGCATACTTGTTTGTAATTTTTCACGAGCTTTTAGATTCAGCATGTTTTTCATCTTCAAAACACAGTTGAAATAACAGCACCGCCGACAGATCGTCTTGAAGCTTATTATCGTCATGTGATCATGGAAGCAGCATGCACTTTGCCAGCCACATTCTGTAGTACGCGTTTTGCCTCTCCTCTTGTTTTTTGGTTTAAGCGAACAAGAACGTGTGGTTATTGATTAAAAATTACCGTTTTTGTCTTGCAGAGAAGCGTAATCCTTAGTAAATGAAGTGTGAGGACTCGAAGGGTGAGGATATTTACGATGAAATCCTGGTGGTTTCAGAAATTCCGAAATTTACATTATAATGGTTATTTTAGTTGACGACTATCCGGAATTGCCGAAAGCGAAAATAGTTCAGCCTTCAGAGCGACTGAGCGATGAGGAACTTCAGGAGTTGAAGAAACTGTACAATCAGTATCGTCTGGAAGTGGTTCTTCATTACGAGCAGACCATTTGTTAGTCATCCTTCATTCGCAGCTTCTTCGTAACAAGGAATGAGGAGTGAATTGTTCGCAAGCCAGACACGTTAGCGCCTGTCATACAGCGCTCTCGTGCATGATCCATTAAAAAGCCACAATCTTATCAGGAGGCGCTTTCTCTTCTATGGTTCTCTGTTGGTCCATCCTTTGGCAGTTGACGGTTATGATGTCTTCCGATTTTTTCAGCCCGCATGGTTCGCGATCGTCGATTCGCTGCATTCGTCCAACCAGTTGATCCGGCAGAAGTGCCCGACTACTATGATTACGTAAAAACTCCGATGGACCTTGGAACAATGTTTGAAAAGGCGCCACTTTACAGCAGTCCGCAGGATTTTCTCAGTGATTTTCAACTGATACATCGGAATGCTGTAGAGTATAATCCTGTAACTGATCTTGAAGGTACCTTCTAATTTGCCACAGCGTCA